GAGGTGCTAATAAGTTATACAATAACATAGTTCTAGTCTTTACCCATTTATAAATTTTGCATTACATGAGCTAATAAGAATAATTGTACGATCGCAAGCTTAGTGGTTGCTTGCAGTTTTATCATCAGCCATATTACTATAACGCAAACTAAACGCTTTGGAAAAATCAAGAAGGCTTGAAAAGGCAGCAGATGAGAGAGAGAGAAAGAGAAGAGAGAGATATGAACGACCTATCAAATAGTTTTTGAGAAAGGCAAGATAAGAAGCGGCATTGGTTGGAGCTGCAAACCATCCCTAAGAGTACAATCTTTGGTCCTCTCCTTTTCTTCCTCTTCGACTTGAACCCAAGACAGAAGACAGAAGATGGGTTTCAAAACAAGAGATAAGATCAATGAGATACACAACCTAGGTCTCCGACTTGAACCTAGAGGACCAGTGGACGACAGGGACCAAGAAGGACAACGATGAAGGGTTTTCCTAGGGTTTCAAACCTTGAACCTGAACCGAACCACCAAGTGGTGAATCAACTGCTTCGATTGTGCAAAGAAGAGAATGCCTAACAAAGGCCTTGCCAACGACCATGCGAAGAGAGAGTAAAGGGCTGCGATGGCCTTACAATGAGAGGAGACCAGCTGTAACAACCTTGTCAACGAGAGGAAGCGACTTCTTGCGATGGTCGATTGATGACATGCCGACAAGGTATTCTAATGTCTGAACTTGCTCTGATACCATGATAACAGAGAAAGGAAATATTGTATAGTCGAATTAATTCAATAAAAGCTGAAGTACAAATATATAATCTAATAGAATACAAACCCTAATAACCTAAAAACTAAACTACTTCTTAATGAATAATATAAAATACAATAATTAACCTTTATGTTCCGCATTGAGTTACTGACGGGTAGATTTATAATTTGAACTAGATAGGTTGGGACAGATAGGTAGCTCAAGCTGTAAAATAAATAAAAATAAATGTTTTATAATGTTAAAATTTCCAATAGGTCCATAACTTTGCACTATTTAGTTCATTTTAGACAATTTTTATTTTATTCTTATTGTTTTTTAGAGAATTCCATGGTACACGATGCAACGCTTCCAGTTACGAAAACTCTGAATCAAATATTTATGATCTACTATATTATTAGTTATGACACATTGTGATATTGATTATGACAAGAATTTTGATTATGATTTCAAAAATTGTTTGGTTATACCATCATGTAATATTTAGTTTATTAACTCGGATTTTTTTTTTATTGTCAAGTCACATTGTTTGAATTATGCCATTTGTGGTAACAAATCTCACAAATAGATAATTGCATATGATACATATACTAGATGTGTGCTATAGTATCATAGTATTTCTTCTCTATTTTTTTTAACTAAAGGCAGTTCAAAGTATTTACTTTCGCAAAAATATTGTTTCGGTTTCTTTGATGATCAAAAAATTAATCTATTTTTCTTTTTTTAATTCATTCAATTAATCTTGTTTAAAAGATTCAAAAAGAAAAATCTATAATATTATTTTGGTTAAAATATTTTATGAGAACTGGAAATTAGAAATTTAAAAAAAAAATTAGCAAAACATAAATAATAAAAAAAGAGTAAAAATGTCAAAAATTGTCATTGTCACTACATGTTTAGACTTAGCAATTCAGGAAATGTCATGCTTAGACTCCACCCAAAACTTCTATGTATTGGAATTTCACTAATTTTTTCCTTAAAAAATTTAGCAATATCAACAAATTATAAAAAATAAATAAATAAAACACATGTGTAACGCCAATTGCAACCATTGGGATCTAAAAATTGTAAAAAATGAAATTTGAATTGTAATTAATGCAATTTGTGTCATAATTGAAATACCATTTTGGATGGTAACCAAAGCTACTAATAATCATAAAAATCAACACATAATAAATTATAATAAGACCACATACACCAATACATGATAATCAGGTCTGTTGTTCAATGTGAGAACCATACCATCTTGACTCATATAGTAAAGATCGACAATCTTAATATATACTTAGAACAACGCTTTTTCTCCTAGTAGTTTTGCACGTTTGAAGAAACACATCACATAGTGGATCACAGAACACTCACAATGGTGTGAGTCTCATAGTGGTGTCTGTCTCACAGCAGGCCCCACCTCTTGTGAGTGTTTGTATGATCGGTTTCCTGTGTAAGGTTTTTTTTCCTGCATTTATGGGAACAAGATGAAATTTGATTGTGAATATTATGAGAGCAACTCATAGTGCAATACCGAAGCACCATGATGTTCTGTAAATGTTCTTCAACCCCAAAATAAGCCATAGTGAAGTTTGAAACATTCAACTCAGCATTGCCAAGTACTTGTTATTTTGTGTGCTAAATCAACTGCTAACAAAATTGGTAGTGAAATATTATCAAAGAACAACTCATAGCGGAACATCGGTTTTTTGTATAAGTCTAGTACGAGTAGTGTAGTTTTAAATGGCCAAGCGTATACACAGAAATTAGAACATGATTTAATACATTGTTCGCAAATAGAATTCCATTATTTGCATCCATGTAATTATGACACGCGTCGCCACTACATTTTTAAAGTTTAGGAATGGCAATTCGTAAAAGTCCGTCCTGGCACAAACAATACTTGTCAATATAATATATCTTGCCCAAAAATATATAAATATATATTATATATAATATAGTATATAATATCCAGAAGTGAATTTGGCAATAGTGACAAAGTCCATCCATTTTAAATGGCAAGCATGAACATTACAAGGATACCTAATCATGATCATTTGAAAAAGAAAAATAAAATTGTTGAGATTTTATCATTTGATAAATTGTCATATATATATCAAGGATATTATAAACTTTACTTGACCTCGAACCTGACAGCCACTATATTTCAAGATTTCTATTTGGCTTGGTCATCTTCAAGTTTCCCAATTCTAACGCCATTTCAGGCATGCCATTGCCAATTTACTTCAAAGAGGTTCTGCTCAAGCAACGCGCTCACGAGGACATGTTAAAATTGATGTATTATTTGATTGATGTATGTTTGATATCAATTACAATGATTCATGATTCTTATGATAGAAGAGGGTGAGTGTGTAGTAGGTAAGGAGTAGGTGAGTGGGGTGGTAGTGGGTGTAGGTGGGGTTAGGTTTAGTGGAGTAGGTGAGGTGGTAGTGGTGTAGTGGGTTAGGTTTAGTAGAGTAGTTTAAGTGGCGTGAAGTAGGTGGAGAGTAGGTGGAATTTTAAAACAGCCCCCGCAAACTAAGGCGAGATAGGACTAACCCAACTTGAGTTTGGAGAGAGTACAAAACAAGAATAATACGATAAAAAATACAACACACGAGCGAATAGGACGCAACTCCGCTACTAGTCGTGTCAAGACCGAGTGGTGAGACACTGTATGGTGGTTGTCATAGGAGTTGTAGAGGAAGACTGTATCGTGGGGGGTGTATACGTGTATGAGGAACTGTATGGTTGGTCAATAACGATGTAGAGGACACTCGATGGGTGTCAGACCGATGTAGAAGACAGTTTATGGGGTCATGTCGGACCGTGTAGCAACAATTTGACTTAGGTTGTGACAGTTTACGAGTCTTGCTGACCCTTGTAGAAACTAACCGGAATCAATGTCGGACAGTTTACAGAGTTTTGTCGGACCGCTAAAGGAAGCTAACCGGAATAATGTCGGGACAGTTACAGAGTCTTGTACGGACCCATAAAGGAATACACTTTATGTGAAGTTAAGCCTGCACAAAAGCTCGCATATTAATACAGTTGAGCCTCAAAAGTCCACCCGTCAAAAGGCGCGCCCAACTGTGCCATCAAAAAGTCGTGCCGGATCAGAAAGCGTCGAGCCATCAAAAGGTGAGGGAAGGCGAGGCAACGTGAGCGGCAGAGTGGCCGTGTCGCCGCGGTCGTCCAGTGTCGAGTATAAACCAAGGCGGAGGCTGAGTGGAAACCAAACAAAGCTGAAACCTCCGAAAAATACTTTGAAAAAACTCTTCCGTTTCTGAGAAAGAGTTCTGAACACTCTGTATCATCTGTAACAACCTTTCTTTGAAACACTCAGCAACCCATAACATGGCCTCTGTCCTTCCCGATCAGCTACCCAAATATGGCCCTCTTCGTCCCGTGGTCTGCTCACGTCTCTTTCCGACTCAACGAGTCCCAAAGAGAGATAACTGGTGCGGTGGCCAGTGAATCAACCAAACACCTCTGTGTTTTGCTCCGTGAACTTTCCGATGCGGTCGGTGGAGCAAAAATGCGGTGCAAACTGATATTGAGGCCAATCAGTATACTCTGAAGTCATGTGTGGAAACCATGACTGCGGTCACAAACTTGTCCGCACCGGTGCAGAGCAGGACAAATGAGGTGCAAGCATTTAAACGCCAAGCTGGCTCTGCTCCAACGCATGTATAAGGATGCGCGAGCAAGAGATAAGTGTGCTAAAGGCAGAAAACAAGGAGCTGAAAGCGGAAGGCCACCGTGATGTTCCGATTGGAGGGCCACCATATGCTGTAGTGGAGGAGCAGGGTGGAGGCAACTTGCTGTGGTGGTCTAGGAAGCACGGAGGCATACACTGCAAGGGCCGTCAGGACGGAGGCAAGAAGAAGAGACCGGCGCAGAGTAGATAGAAAAAATCCCGCCTGTGGGTTTGTTGTTGTTGTTTTTTTTTTTTTTTTTTTTTTTGTGTAAAATTGTGATCGGGTTGATCCCGTCATGAAAAAAATGACAAGTTTGTGGAATGAAAACCGAGATGGTTGTGATGGGCTGGAAGGTTTTTTTTTTTTTTTTTTTTTTTTTTTTTTTTTGGCAGTCGAATATACATAAATATATATATAATATCAACTAGCTAGTGACATACCTCATCACAAAACACGTCCCACCTCTGCACTATACACACGTTTACCAGTAAGCTTTACAGCTGCTCAAGCACTAACCCACAATACACGGCAAAAACCATGTGCTGGTGCACAAAAAAGGCAGATAGTGGGTCAAGGATTTGATGTTTCGATTTGTTAGAAAGGCAGATAGTGGGTCAAAGATTGTTGGTTCTGTGAAGGCTGATTCTGTTGAAAGTGGTGATAAAACCAGTAACATGAACATTTTACCTCAGGAGAACAGTGCCCATCCTTCTCTTTCTTGCAATGCAGTGGTATGTTCTGGCTATGAAGCATCCAAAGAAGAAGTGACTCAGGGTGGCAAGGCATCACCTACTGATGATTGTGCACACCCTCAGTCAGGTTATTTGGTGGCAAATGGGATAGGGCCTCCAAATGGAGAAAGCAACTATGAAGAAGCTGTTGAGTTTGATCCAATTAGGCATCACAATTACTTCTGTCCTTGGGCGAATGGTAATGTTGCTGCCGCAGGCTGTAGTAGTAGTAGCGGCTAGGAAAGAAGGATGGGAAGGCAGAAGAAAAGCCAGAGAGAACAAGGGCTGATAGTACGGCAGCAAACGATGGGAAGACCAATCTCTTTAGCAACATCAATGGAGGGTGGTCTTCGGGAAGGCCATCGGAGATGGAGTCCAAATGGAATCCGGGATAGTGACTGAAATGGGATTGGATGTTGGTGAATCGGAGGAGATGACTGCGGATGTGGTCGGTGACCAGGAAGGTGACGTGGAGTCCGGATAGGCATAGAAGTTCTGCTAGCTTCAGCATGGAGTTTACAGGCCCCTGTAAGGGTGGGGGAAATATGAGTACATGAGGAGGAGAATGGAGTGCCTGTTGCTGCTGCTGCTGTTGGATTAGTGTAAGGTTGTTGAAGAATCTGCCATTGAAGAAGAAATTAGGGAAATTTGGGTTTGTCCGGCGGGCGGCCAAGGCGAGTTTAAGTGGGTGAAGTAGGTGGAGAGTAGGTGAAGTGGAGGTGGTAGTGGTGTGGTGGGTTAGGTTTAGTGGAGTAGGTTTAAGTGGGTGAAGTAGGTGGAGAGTATGTGGATTTAGTGGGTTAGGTTTAGTGGAGTAGGTTTAAGTGGGTGAAGTAGGTGGAGAGTATGTGGATTTAGTGGGTTAGGTTTAGTGGAGTAGGTGAGGTGGTAGTGGTGTAGTGGGTTAGGTTTAGTGGAGTAGGTTTAAGTGGGTGAAGTAGGTGGAGAGTAGGTGGATTTTAACAGGACAACTACTAAAGAGTCTGCCAGATACGATCTTGGTAGAGAGCTCAAGTGGGAAAAATGCTGAGATGTCTACTCACTACCCTGCTTGACAGAGGTCTCGAGTGGACTTACCAAAAACCATGTTTTAGTTGGATTACACTTCTATAAACATATAATAATCATGTTTTTTTAAATGAATTAAGGTCACAAGAGTACAATTCCTTCTCGCATCCTAGAGAGCTTTAACCTATTGTTCAAGGTTTCGGAATTGAATCCCATGTTTTGATCAATCTAGAAGAAAGTTCTTTAATAGATTTTGTACATACATGTTTCAGATTGATTTTCTTCCCCGAAAACCTACACTTCACTTTATTATTATAGAAGTCTTATGCATAGTTATATAATAAACTTAACTACTTATACATAATTATACAAAATAGAAGTCTCCAACTGGGCACATCAGACCCATATGTCATACCCTCACACACATATCAAGTCTCCAACATGTATACTTCACAAATTTAGAAAAATTCATGCAAGTTGTCGTGGTACGAAGATCAAGGCAAGGAGTTTCGTGGTGAGCTATTGTAATTCATAACATCTAAATCTTTCATATTTGTTTCAATAGTGAAATTTGTTATGGGTGGTTTTGGTTGTGGTATTGTCCTTGAGGAGATTTTTCCTTAAGTTTGCACATTAAATTCAGTGTGTTCTTGTCTCTATCTTTATTGTGGTTTGTATTCCTCAACTTAAACATGTTCTTTGAATTGGAGTAAATCAATTGAGTTTTTGACCTATTCACTCCTAGGAGCAAACTATCACCACAGTTTAAATCTTGAACTTGGATATTTTTCAAAACAAATCCAAAAGCAGTTGTCATCCAACGAATTTTGGAAAATTTGGATAACAAACGATTCATTTTTAGAGAATCACCAGTGCCAAAAGAAGATGAATTATATCAGTAAGGCAACGAAATCAAGCTGTGACTTACACAAACTCAGCAGAGACACCGTCCTTGTTCAGATTACTCGGCAGTGTCCAAACAACCTTGTATGGCCCTTGTGAAATCTCCCTCTTGTGATATGTATCAGTTGAACTTGCCACTCCCCAGCACTGGTTTGAGTTTTTGGCAACCACAGTCAAGCTGTTAGAAAATGGCATTCCTCATTAGACCAACAATAACAAGATCTTCTTGTAAGAATGGATAAGGAAAACATGAAATAAAGCTGGATGCGTGAATCTTCAAAAACTCTATCTTACATTTGATCATTGATCTCCACTCTGATGTCATTGATATTGACACCTGGAAGTTCTACCGTAAGAATGTAATTGCATCCAGATTCTGCCACATCCATTCTCGGGGACCACTCAAGTCCTGTGTTACATTATAGAAAGAAATATAGTAATTTAGTAAATACTAAATAGTATGCATCTCAAACATGGAATCTATGCCAAAGGAAGCCATATTCTCATAGAAAGATGGCATGAGAGGAACTTTCTTTGAAGATGTACGTGGAATTAATATGGGAACGCGAAAGGCTACATGCTCTAAAAAGTGGCACGATATGGACAAACTTGTAAATATTAGACTATTTGGACATCAAGATTTTTTTTATAATTAGACATCTAATAAAAGTTTTAAAAATTAATCATGTATAACACATTATTATTAGTATTATGACCCATTTTTATGTACCAAAACTCCACTATCCTTAGATTTTAGTTCATCATATTCGATAATCTTCCTCCCAAGGAAGGCTTTATGAAAATATAACGGAAAAAATTTCGGGACAATGAGCACTGCTACTCAAACAGAACATACCGAAATCATTTAGGTGGTTGGTTTTTGATTTGCCTAAGGTTTTGTGGGCTCGTGCATCAGCCAATAAAAATGAATCACGTTGGTTAGTTCTAGATTCCTTTTCAGCGAGAATATCATTTTCCTTGATAAAGTTACTGTTTCGATATGAAAGTATGTTGAAACATGCATTCCAAAAAGTAAATCACTAGGGAGTTAGCATTTTCTGATAACACTTATATAATATTTTCTGCTGGGTACTTCTACATTCTAAAATGTGAACTTCTCTGAAACTCCAGTTTTCATTGCGTACCACAGGCTTGAACAAATTCCAGTTTTCATTAGTAATGGCTTACTTGGTGAGTTGGTGTAAATAAATAAAGCCATGTATTCCCTGGATCTAAATTTTAATCTAAAATTTTAAAAAATAATAATAATAAATAATAATTTAAAGTAATAATCAAAAGGTCTTTAGACATCAAAACTCCTTACCAGTAGATTGAAAAGGGTGTATTCTGTTCCTGGAGCAGGAATGCAATTGTTCATTAATTTTTCTGTTTGGTCTGGAAAACTTCGGAGGCTCAGGTGGGGCTGATTTGCACTTTTCCACCACAGGTTGGATAGAACCAACATTGGGGTAGTTTTGTTGCATCCTAGCAATAGGTCTAGAAAACAAAGGCGCTTCAAAGGCATTGGAAGAGCCCTCATTTGCAGAACCACAGGACTTGTTGAGATACACACAAGGCTGAGCAGAACTAACCTAAAAATATCAAATAAACACAGAGAAAAACATACAAATACAATCAGCAACTGGAAAATAAAAATGGTGAAACAATATATTTAATAAGGAGTGTAAAAAAAGTTAAGCACCTGCTCGGTTGAAGTTGAAGCCTGTCTCATGAAACAAGCTTGGGAACTAGACCCTTGCCTTGCAAAATGCATTCTATTATCACACCTCCGGATGACAGAGTTCAAACTACTACTGCAGTTCTGACGAAAAAAGAGAAGTGAACCAATGGAAAAGATGGTTAGAAGAACAATAACAAATGTCACAACAAAGGCGAAGATGACAAAAAACTAAAACAGAACAAACAGGCAGTCACACAAGGATCTATGTCCATGGGCAAAAAGCAGCAAAGGTGTTTCACTATGAATGTAGATATTATAATGAGTTCGCTCTCTCAACAACCCTATGTTACAAAAGCTCTTTGAAAAGATCCTCTTAGCCCTAGAATGTAAAAATAACCCAATAAATTCAAGGATTCCAAAGTAATAAACTGGGTCAAAATACTAGTTAGGGCCTATCCATTTGCACATTAATTGGGTGGTGTGAGTCACCAACGGATAATAAACATAATCCGAATTGAATTCAAGACATACACACAAAAATATACTGTACACACATGCTTCAAGGAAATTTAAAAAACAAATACAAGAGAAAGAAACTTACCATATGATGGCTAGTTGGCAGTAGTATTCAATGACAAATTACATATTTGTATGAGATTAATTTGGATTCGTTGGTTTTGGATCACAAGAAAATATGATCATTAACAAACAAACAGATAAAATGGGAATAAACACAGATGAAATGACATGAATCCAAGAACCGCTATGTTAAACAATTAACTGCCCCAAAAGGTCTTAAGCTAGGAAATGGGTACCCAATTATAAATATGGAATAATCTTAACAATTTCATTGTCTTTTAATCCAAATAACGGAATGCTGAAGTCAAAAATAATCTTACTGTGGACAGTTTTTTAAGACAGACAGACAGAGAAATAGAAGAATTCTTAGCCACCCAGTGGGCTGCTCTGTTTGCCTAAAGTAAAATAGCTATTGCTTAAGAAAAATAACCTTGTTCAACAATATAAACCACAAACATCTTCTGATTTTGAAAATTAATACATGTTGCAATCAGCCTCAATCAGCTGCAACTTTCTACTCCAAAATTAATACATGTTGCAATCAGCCTCAATCAGCAGCAACTTTCTACTCCACCAACCATTACTTTCTTTGGTGATCACAAGACATCTTCCATACCTCCATTTTCAAACTAGTTTGGAATGCTTTCAGATCAATTCAAACTAATTTGGAATACTTTGAGATTTTATGATTTCTTTGTACTATCCCTTAGTTTTGTTGAGAATGTAAGTATAAAGTTATTTTTGTTGAAACTTAACAATTCAACATGGTATCAAAACAGACAATAAGTCATGTATTCAAACCTCACCTCCTACGTGATAATTAAAATATTAATACATGTTTGGCCCTCTAATAAAGGACACTGTAGACACCCGTGAGGGATTTGTTGATAATATAAATAATAAAGTTAGTCCTCTCTAATAGCTTAAGCTTGGTTCGGTGGAACAAAGATGGAATGAATAGAATATGAGCAGAATAATCATCATTTAGCATCTTTATGAAATGAATGATGAATGATGATTGATTCAATTTACCTTACTTTGTTCATTAATCTTTTATTGAACCAAACAGAGGAAAATCAATCAAAAAATCCTAAAACAAAGAATTAAGGTAACTAATCAATCTACCAACAATAGATATGTGAACTAATTAAGAAAGAAAAGAGGAAGCCGATGAAATCAATGAATGCAAAAGTAATCATTATGGTTGTTTGGTAGGATAGAAAATGCTACAAAATAATCAAATTTTTCCCCTTTTTGATATTGTGTAGGGGCAAACCAATGCAATTTTTCACTGACTCAGAGCAAAAAATTGCATATTAAGAAGTAGGATTGAATTGGGTTGCATAACTTTAAATCTTTTGCTTCAGTTTTCTCAACAACCAAACAGAGTATTAAGCTAAAAAATTAAAAAAATTAAAAATGAGGAATGCTACCAGAGGGAAAATGTGAGATGCGGCGGCAGCGATGTCGTCAGCGGCGGCGGCGGTAGCAAAGTGACCGGCAATGGTGTTCATCCTCCTTCTCACCAACTGACTCTCCATCTCTCTATCTCTCTCTCTCTCTACCTGCAGAGAGATACTTTTCTACTTCAAATTGTGGTGATGGATATAAGATGATATGATTAGATATTTTTCCGGGGGAACTTTCTCATCAAACAAAAATCTCTACCTCCAAAAATATTCATCACTCATTCCGTTTTGGTTTAGAAAATCGATTTTTTTTTTGTCCGTTTGGGAAGGACTTTTTCGGATTTTTTTTTTTTTTTTCTGACTATTTTAGTCACAAAAGATAAAATAAGTTATTTTAGTCACAAAAAACAAAATATCACATCCAATTCATAATCATTACATTTTTCTCTCACAAAAAAAGTCAAAAAAATCAAAAAGTCAAAAAACTCTTCTCAAACCAAGCTTTTTAGCCCAAGTTAAAATAACCAAAAAAATCAAAAAGCCAACCCACTACCCAAACGGAGGTTTTATCAAATTACCCTTTTGGTTTTGGCAGTTTCTTGATATCAGCGGCCGTTTTGTGCTTTGGGTAAGACCTCGTTTGGCATATTGGTTGGATTTTTTTTTTTTTTTTTTGACTAAATTAGTCTTAAAAAAAAGATAAATAAATTAAAAAATTAATAAAATAAAATATTATATTCAAATTATAATTATTTCACTTTTTCTCTTATAAAAATTAAAAAAGCCAAAAAAAATTAACATAAATAAACTTTTTAACCCCAGGTCAAATAGTCAAAAAATTAAAAAACTAACTCCTTTTCCAAACGAAATCTAATTCTGACTTATTTTGGGAGTAGAAAAAAATTGAGGTTATTGATTTATTGACAATCATATCATCTCTCTAATTTATTTTTATTTTTTAAAAAAAAATCAAAAAAATCAATAAATTATCTTTTTTTCTACTTTCCAAGACAAGTCTAAAGGTAGTCATTCGTACTCTACATTTTAGTTAAAAAGTCAATATAAGTTGTTATATTATTTTTTCTATTTTTTCATATATTTTTTTATAAAGAGTCAAAAAATTATTAAAACAGCATATTCACAAACAAGGAGTTTTTTTTTTTTAATATTCTAAACAAAAATTTAGAAAATTAATCCACTTTTCAAACTATTTAGGAAACTAACCTATTTTTTAAATCGCATTTTGAAAATGGGATTTTGAAATTGAAATTGCAATTTCAACATGCAATTTCACCTTAAAATCGCTTGTTGAAAATGCGATTTCAATTGAAATCGCATGTTAAACATGTAATTTCACCATATCATCATAAATTGCATTTTCAACTTGCGATTCCAACGTAAAATTGCATATTGAAAATGCAATTTCAATTTCAAAATCGCATTTTAAAAATGCGATTTCAAAAAGCAGGTTAGTTTTCTAAATAGTTTGAAAAGTAGGTCAATTCTCTAAATTATTTTTTCAGAATATTAAAAAAAAAAACTCCCCAAACGAGGCCTAAATATAAAAAATAAAATAAATAAGTAAATTGTATATGTCTAAATCTGATTCAGTCCTAATATCAGCCTTTTACATCTATCTAAGTCTGATCCATAAAATAATTATAAATTTCAAGTTCACCTCTCGACTTATATATTAAAAAAAATTAAAATATTTTATAATTAAATTCAATCACACATTAATAAAGTTGAAAATTGAAAATTAAGTATTAAAAATTAAATGTTGAATTTTTTAAGAAAAAAAGTTGTTTGATAAAATTTAAATGTTGAACTAAAAATAAATTGTTTGATGGGAAATTATATTAACAATCCCTATAGTTTGGGGTTCGTGTCAGTTTAGTCCCTGACTTTTCAATTGTGACACATTTGACCCTGAATTTTGAATCATGTTCCAAATAAGGACAATTAAAGATACATTTGCTCAGTTTCAAGGGCAAATTCATCAATTCCAATTTGACAAAAAAAAATGTCAAAAAAATATTTTTAAATTTTTAAAAATTATTTCTACCCACCAAAGATAAATTTATGTAAAATTGATAAATCTTTTACGCATTTATTTATTTATTTATTTTACTAAATTATTTTTTATTATGTGTTTGGATGATTATCATATAATGTGTAGTTGTTATGCTTTTAATGTATAATCAATATATTTAATATATGAAAATTTTTTAGTTTTGAATTTTTTGACTTAATGGATTAGTTTAATAATGATATCAAAGTTGTCTCCATATTTGAGTTTTGAAAAATATAAACTAATTTAATGAAAATAAAAACAACTATCCATTATATGATCATTATCCAAACACATAATAAAAATTAATTTCGTAAAAAATAAATAAATAAATAAATGTGTAAAAGATTTATCAATTTTATATAATTTTATATTTAATGGGTGGAAATAATTTTTAAAAATTCAAAAATATTTTTTTTTGACATTTATTTTTGTCAAATTAATTTATATTTTATCAAATTGACAACTTTGTCCTTAAAATTGAGTAATGATATCTTCAATTATCCTTATTTGGAGTAAAATTCAAAATTTAAAATCAAATGTGTCATAATTGAAAAGTCAGGAACTAAAGTGATATAAGCCCCAAATTATAAGGACCGTTAGTGTAATTTTCCTTTTGATGGGCAAATTACACTAACAATCCCTATAATTTGAGGCTCGTGTAGCTGTTTGATTAAATTTGAAATTTATAATTTTTAAATTATATATTTCAATTTTTATATTGTAATAGTGGTGGTAGTAGTGGTGGTAATGGTAGCGATAGTAGTAGTGGTGGCAGTGGCAGTAACAGTCGTGGTGACAGTGGCGTGGTGGTGGTGGTAGTGGTAGTGGTGGTGGTGGCAGCTGTAGCTATGGTGGTGATAGTAGTTGTAGTAGCAATGGTAGTAGTGGCAATAATGGTGGCAGTGGCGTGACGATGGTGGTGGTGATAGCGATAATGATGCTAGTAGTAGTGGTATAAATGATGGTAGTAGTAGCGGTGGTAGTGGTAGTAGTGGTAGTAATGAGTTTATAATAGTATATACTGGTATTTATGTTTAGTATTTATAAATTCAATCAAAATTAAGTCAATTTTATATAACTTAAAATTTTCTTAAGTTTTAGCTTACATTTTAAGAGTCATTTAAATTTTTAAGTAATATCAATTGTGGTTATTAAACGGACTTAATTAATTATCACTTAATGTATTTAATTTTAAGTATTGAATCATATTATCAAACACTTCTTATATTTCTTAAATAAATATACTAATTAACAAGTAAAGAAGGTAAGCTGCTGATTATATATATGTCTAATAAATTATATTATAATCAAATTTGGTAATACCTAAAAGTAGTGTTCACACTGAAAAGTTCCAAATCAAATTCTGAAAGATTAGTGTTGTTGTTCGGTCATGAATTTTATATTAATGGCTTAGCAATACGAGGAATATCATGGAAATGATTATTCAAAGTTGTGTTCACACTTTATGCTTAATAATTTAAAATTGTCACACAAATAATTGTAGTACTTTTTTGTTGATAGGAGGCTTGTAAAGATTGATTATTTAAAGTTGTGTTCACACTTTGGAGATGAAAATTAAATAGTGATAAAAAAGATTAGTACGTGGAGGGTCATTGAAATTTAAATTTAATAATGCTTTTATAATCAACACAGCATTTGCAAGCTGTAAAAGTTAACATTTCCTTAGCAAAACTAGCTTCTAAGCAAGGTTTTAAAAAGCGGCCGCAACCGTTACGTAACGGTTGTGGTAGTTATCGCCACCCGTCACTACAACAAAAAACACTATTGGCGACTAAAATGGGAATTTTCGTCGCTGAAAGTCATGGAATTGGCGACTAAAATGGAATTAGTCGCCAAAATTGGTCACTTTTGCCGACTAAAAGACTTTAGTCGCCGAATGTAATGGTTTTAGCGACTAAAAGGCAGTTTAGTCGCCAAATATAGGGGTTTTAGCGACAAACATATTTTTAGTAGCCAAAGGTTAGGGTTTTTGGCGACTAAAACCATTTGGTAGCCAAACGTTAAGGTTTTGGCGACTAAAAACCACTTTGGTCGCTGATTGTACCTGTTTTGGCGACTAAAAACAGTTTCGTCGCTGAAGGTCAAGCTTTTTGGCTACTAAAAAAAAATTAGTAGCTAAAAACAGGTTTATGGCGACTAAAATTCACTTTAGTAGCCAAAGGGGGAGGTTTTTGGCGACCAAAAACAAGTTTAGTCGCCAAAATGGTAGGTTTTTAGGCGGAATGGTTTTCTTTAGCGACGGAAAATTAATTAGTAGCCCAAAAATAATACAATTGGCGACTAAATAATTTTTTTAGTCGCCAAAAGTGGTCTAAAATTTTTTTAATAAATTATTTATTTTTTACATAATATATTTTGAATATATATAATTACATTTATATATATAGTTGTGTATTAATACTGATGAAAGTAATATATAAATAATATAAGTTGCAATTATAGTCATGAGATGGCTCAGTGGCATAGTGGGGTGGAGTGTATGGTTAAGGTTTGGAACTTGAAGGTCCTAGGTTCAAACCGTGGGAGCTCTGAGGCACAAAGGAAAATTTTTTTTTTTTTTCAAAAATGCTTTTGGCGACTAAAAAAAAATAGTCGCCAAATGTATAAATAATAAAAATAATAATTCACTATTAGCGACTAATAGTTTAGTCGCCAAAGGTATAATTTCCAAAAATGGAATTGACTATTGGCAACTAAAACCTTAGTCGCTAAAAACCTATGTATTGCCGACTAAAAGTTTTTTTTGTCGCCAAAGGTATTGCCGACCGTCTATTTGCGACAAACCCGGCGACTAAAAGATTTTGTCGGGGAAAGTGGAAATTTGACATTTGGCGACTAAAAAGAGACTTTTGGCGACTAAAAATTTAGTCGCCAAAGGTGTATTTTCCTGTAGTGAAGGTTATTCGGGATAAGGCAATGTTCTTGTTTGTGATAGAGTGACGAAAGGGCAAAGCTGAATTGTAGTAGTATTGTTCACAATCGCGCAAAGCTAAGTTGCGATGACGGGATAGGGAAAAAAACTAAGTCATGATCGTGGCAGGGCTGGGTCACGATAGTAGGGTGTGCTGCCGATAGGTGAGGGGGAAATGTCACCGTTGGGACAAGACTATTCGGGACAAGACGGTAGCGTTGTACATAATGGGGCGATGAAAGAACAAAGCTG